TATTTTAAAAAATGTGATGAATATGGCCTTAGAGAAAGAAAGGTTCCTAAACCTTGCTCGACTAGATGGAATTGTATGTACGAAAGTTTAGTAGTTGCCTATGAATATAGAAACCCAATTAATGCAACGTTTAATTCTCGGGTAGGTGGTGAGGATGATGATGAAATGCTTACTACTCAAGATTGGACGAATGTTAAAATTCTTTTAGATTTTTTAGAACATTTTTCACCAGCCCGCCACGGGCTTAAAGAGACCACCAGGCCCGGCCCACCAGGCCCGTGAGGCCCGTTAAGACCGTGGGCCCGGTCCGGTCCGGTTCGGGACCGGCCCACAGTGCAGCATTATCGAGTACAAATGTTCAGTCTGTTACAGACCGTATATATGTCATGGTACACAATTAAAATACAGAAGATATACAATAAAAATTACATCTTGATAAACAGTAAATATACATAAGATTATGAATTAGTATACATAAAAAATACATCAATATACATAAAAGATATACACCGGAGTAAAACACTTGAACAAAAGCTTCACAGGATGCTAGTGCGCAACCTTCAACTACTTCTTCTTTCAATCTTTTTCTTTCTCGCTGGGTATGTTGTTGTTGTTCTATGTATCTCTATCTTTTTATTCACTATGTAATAGCGCATTACTGGAAGACATTCATGGTTTTCGTTATTTCTTCATTTTCTTAATTGCAATGATCTTAGTGAAACAATCTAGGGTCATGGAAGAAGGATGGTGGTGTCTAGAAGAAGTGTGGGGAGGGATTTGCAGTGAATTTGATGAAATATCGAAGGCAAGATATATGGGTGAATTTTGGAGAGAATAACGGGAATGGTTAGTATAATGATGAAAGAGAATGTATCATATATTTTATAAGGATTAAATTGATTCCTTAATTTGTGGGCAAGTGAATTATTAAATTTTTTTAGCCATTAGAGGTTTAAACTTCTTAATATGCTAGAAACGTAAATAAATATGCTATTTTAAAAATGAATCAAAAGTGACGTTAGTTATATAAATAATTTTAAATAAATAATCTATTGTGCAGAAAAAGAAAATCTTTTCTTTTACCTTCCACTAAAAGAAGGATATATACGTAAAAATTGTGTGGGGTAGCCATTTTTTAAATTGGTATTTACTTTTTATCCAGCATTTTTAATGATGAGCAAAAGTAGTCACTAGTCTATTAAAATTAATATGAAAAGACAGTGTTACCCTTTCTTTCCCAAACGGAAATACGTCATTTTTAGATTCAGTAAAACAGAGCAACAACCGAAGTTCGTTGTATTTGCAGCTGCTTCAACTTCTATGGATATCTGTGTGTACTGAATTTCAATGGTGTGGAAGAGATCCCTTCAAAATACATTTTATAAAAAGGATTACAAGCGATTATGTGCATCAGATCTTGAATCCAGTTATACTGAATCTACTGAACACGTTCAATGGTTTAGCCAGTTGTATAGAAGTGAATTACAAGTTGCGGAGGAAAGGGGTAATTTCCCTAGATCATTATAAAGTAGCTCTAAATGCATTTGAAGAGTCTCTGACCAGAGTTCACCACATTGAAGAAAAACTAAATAAAAATTCTTTGTAATTAACGTATCTACTTAATAAAAATTCTTTGTAATTATTTTGTATTTAGTCTTTAACTTAGAGTTACAAGCACAGAAATTAAGGATAGGTAGTCCTGAACATCGAGTTCCAAATTCAAAAGTTAAGGACATGTAGTCCCGAACTTAAAGTTATAAGTTCAAAAGTTAAGGACAAGTATTCCTAAACTTAGAGTTACAAGGCCAAAAGCTAAGGACAAGTAATCCTTAATTTAGACTTACAAGCTCATAAATTAAGGACAGCCAGTCTTGAACTTACATTAACAAGCTCATAAGTTAAACACTTGGTCCTAAACTTAGAGTTATAAGTTCAAAAATTAAGGACAAGTAGTCATTAACTTAGAGTTACAAGCACAGAAATTAAGGACATGCGGTCCTTAATTTCGAGTTCCAAGTTCAAAAGTTAAGGACAGGTAGTCCTTAATATTTACACAACATTCATGAAGTTAAGGACACCATGTCCTTAATATTTACATAGCACACATGTCTAACACATGGGTATTTTCGTCCGGGCGAGTAAAAGATTATTAAGTACTGGCTAAAAAGTAAATACATCCTAAACCGTGGATAAAAAGTAAAGACATCTTTAAATAGTGGCTAACCGTGCACTTCCCCCGATATATACAAGGGGAAATTTCACATTAGAACAACTGGGCTCCCTACTTTTTAATTTTATAGCCCATATTTCAATTTATAACCAACTTACCCAAAAATAATAGGCTAAGATTTAACATCCATATGTTCTCAAAATTACTATTTAATTTTTAAAAAAGATTCCTCAAGCTTTTAAATTAATTTTCGAATCACTAACTGTGATCCAAATATTAGTTCAACAAACCAAATTCATTTAGGTGGTGCAAATTAGATTTTTAACAAGCTTAAATATGTGGGTTTAAATTTCAAAGTTAATTTTGTGAGAAATTTGGAGTGGATATTATTTAAACTTGTTAGAAATAGTATAAGGAGGTTGTATATAAAATTTGAAGTCATTTAATGGAGATTTGGACTAGTTTTGAACAAGAATTGTAACTGAAAATCGTGAAAGAAGTTCGTCAACAAACGCTTGTATAAAGGTGTATAAAAGTGTATAATAGTATATAAGATGTGTTTCTACACTCATATACAAGATTATACATAATTATACAAAAAACTGACTTCGTCTTCTCCCTTGCGTCTTTTCTGAATTTAACTCAAATCTTGCTCAAATATACTCCAAATCACTTCAAATTTAAATTTTGAACTCCTTTTGATATTTTCAATCAATTGGAACAACACTCAATCCAAACAACTAACAAATTCAAAAAAACTATTTTCGAAAGCAAAGCTTTGAATGGTCTTCAATGGTGGACTTTTACTCTTCAATTTTCTTACATTGCAAGCAGGTGACACAAGAGGAGAAACAGAAAATACACGGCCCCTTGAAGCATATGTAAAAAATGTGAGAAGAAGAGAGACTGAAAGCAATGGTTGTGAGAACACATATTTAACTCCATAACTTTTAGAAGCAATGATTATAAGAACACAAATTTTGAATTTGCTAGTGCTTTCAAAATATGTACAATATGGGCTAGATCGGGTAAAATTTAAAAACATGGGCCATTTTTTATTATGGTGTGAAGTCATGTGTATTTTCTTGTAATTCTTTCTATATACAATATAGAAAATAAATATATTGCATTTATTTATCCACTTTGGGGTTCTCTTTGCGTCTTTTATTTCTTTTCTCACATAAAACCTCTGTTTACCTCAAAAATACGAGTAAAAATTAAATTTGATTAATGGTTTTAAAGATATGTGATTTAATTCAATACCAATTAATAATCAAGAAATATGAAGTAGAAATGAAAGATAGAAGTGAATCAAACCAATGTTACTCAACAGTAGTGACCTCGAGGTGGGCTTAGAGCAATAGGAACAATTAAATAAGAAAAGCAAAGTAAGAACAATAGAGCTAAATGACAACGCTGATGAACA